TAGTATTCTTGAACACCAATTCACTCGACAAGTCCGCTAACACACGGTGAGACTATATTTGAGCGACGCTAAATTCACCTTGAGATGTCCACCTACTAACTAGGACTAAAAATGAGGGTTATAAACCAATATGAAGAATTGTAATTATGATTTATAGTTGATGATTAGAATTAGGAAGTAGATTTAGAATTTTTCATCACGAACTGACATCAGCTATAATGACGAAATAGTATTTAACTAAATGAGTGTATGAATTTCATGCTAAAATCCGTGATCTCTTATCTTAAATCTGATTGGCTCATCCATAAATTATAGTCTCAACTTAGACACTACTGAAATCAAAGTAGGCATAATGTAGTTCTAATATACAACCGTAAAATTCAATATTTTCGTGCAATAAATACATTGGATAAAGTTTTAGCATAATTATCAATGATGAAAACATTCATTACTAATACTCATGATCTTAATCATTGAAATTACTACAATCTCCACAAAACCCCTTCTGACAATAATCAACATATGCTCACTAGTGACTGGCTTCAAGAGGTATATCCTGGAGTTCTAATGAGAAGTAGTGACCACTGGAGTTCAACCAGGTCTGTTGTGGGATAGTAACTCACTCAAGACAATGGTAGATATGTCACTCAATTTCGTGGATTAGTTGAAGTTAGACATGAACACCGTTGGATGCCGGCCAGCTCAGTGGTCTAGTGGTCAAGTGCTCGCGTGCGAAACCAGTAGGTCATGGGTTCGAATCTCGCAGGGGTCGAGGTCGTGGATGCGCACTGCTGAGGAGTCCCATAATAGGACGAAACGGCCGTCCAGTGCTTCCAGGTTTTTCATGGTGGTCTAGCTTCAACTGACTCATGATCTTAATCATTGAAATTAATATCAAATGATTTAAACTTTAAGAAAATATTAATAATCACCTGTAAAGTTGCTGCATACTGATAAGTTTCTGTAGTATGAAACTGATTCACCACTTTGGTAGGGACCATTGTGACAAAATATTGAAATGATGTAGAGGCTAAATTTGAAGAAACAATTAACATACAAAACGCTACAATGGATATCTTTGTGTTTTTTTTTTTTGGTAAACAAAGTTACATTTTGAGTGTAATTAAATAATGTGAGTATGTGTGCAAGTGTGGTGTATACGAGAGAGAAACCAAGATAGCATGAAGTATATATATATTCAACTTTATAACCAACTAAAGTTAGTTAAATCTCCTTAAAATCGGTAAACAAACACCTTAATTCCTAACCAATATTATTAACAAATAGATATTAGTACAAGGAGGCACCGAATACATATGCGCCACACAAATCTCATTTGATATATGTGAGGGCTGTGATACTTACTGCACGGGTGCCCAAACCGAAGCAGGTGGTTTTCTTAGGGAGCCACATTCCGAGCCTTCGACCTGAAGATTTGATCCACAAGGCAGTGGAGCATCGTAAGGAGATGCAGTTCCATGGTAGCCAGCTGGTGACCAACGATTGGTTCATACGCCATTTGTTCCTTCAGGATACTGGAGTCAGCCCATGTGCACCATTGGTTTGGGATCCGGTTAAAGCGCCGGAAATTCGCTTTTTGTCTTCTCATTTTCGTAAACAACACCCCCTTGACGAGAAGGACTTCCCTGACAGAGGCTGTACACGCGTGGCCATATGAGAGCATTTGGATAGGGAGAGCGAACTCTCCTCACTCTCGGCCGTACCAGGGCTATTAATATTATTAAAAAAATTAAATAATTAATTCCTAACCACAATTTTTTAATGATGAAGTTGTGCCGGTGACTGTAATGGGGTATTGTTGCAGTAAATTTTTTCTCACGGATAGCAAGTAACATCAGCAACACCATTTTCACACAAATGGAAGCGAGGTCAAGACCATTAAATGAGTAATCCTGAGGTTGTGAATAGGATCTTTAGTAAAACAATGACAAGAATGATGATCGTGTAAAATTTGATCAACTAAAATATTTGATATACATGTTGCACATGACGACCCATGTAAACAGTTACAATAGCAGATTCAAAATACGCTTAAAAAACGACCAGAGAATCATAAAATATCGGTACAGGAAGTGTTTTATGTCACACGAGTTGAAATTAACTAAAGTAATTGTTAGATCCCGATTGAGAATAATGAATGGTAACTGTTGGGATCTATTTCTGGACTAATACTATACGTATATTTTTATCATATAATTATTAATTAACTAAACTATTCATATTCATGTTCCTCTTATCATAAGCGTTATTTTGACCTGTTGAACTATTATTATACGATTTACCATTCTTGAACTATGTCTAGTCTATCAATTACTACCTCGCACATTTACAGCCACATTTGGCCAAATCTTGTACAAATGTAGTTTCCTATTTTATGGTACGATGTGGTCTGTTTGATTGGTATATAAACTGAGTATGTTTGAAATAAATGATTGATATCACAGAGGATGAGATTGGTGTTTTGGACTTAACTGGCTGGGCTAGGCAGGAAGCAAGACCAATAAGTACTCTAGACTGTCCGCAAATGTTTTAGGTGTGATTAGTTCGGTCGATAAATCACTGTTCTCAAAAGAAACTCACCAACATCAGTAACAGATTCAACAGCTTCTAATGGATGTATTTGTCCATTAACTAGATTACCAAAAGAAAAATGATTTATTCGATGACTGAAATTCTGAACTAAAATCAACGAAGAGAAAAAGGAAGAGGTGGAAAATTAATCATTTTCAACAGAATAGTTTTTTAATTACACAATAATATTTATGGAAAGTACTTTTTCAAAGAGTAAGGAGTTTGTGGAGACTGTTGAGTTTTATGGTTTACATCAGTGACTTACCCTGCGCTCAGTCGTGAGTAATTTTGAGAGGCGATTATCAAAGTTCTAGCGAGAACCCGTAAAAAGTAAAGTTTAACCATGTCGCGTTGAAGGACTTTTACCTACAAATACCATTGGATGGTCAAATAATATTGTGAACTGATTTAATTTAGACATTTAAACTATTGGATAGCAAGCCAATGATCTAGAGGTTCAGAGCTTGTCGAGAGACCTGAAGGTTTAGTTAGAGTACGATCACCTATAAGGTTGTGCATGCGCACTGTTGAGTCCCACATTAGAACAAAACTGTTTGATATCTCCTGACCTTCAGTAGTTGTCCAACGGAGGTAATTCCGGGGTGTAAACTACAGTGTTTTAGAAATATCCCGTTCTCTAAACTGAATGGTTAATTTATGAAACTCTCGTTATCTTCCTAAATACCAGAACTATCAATGCATATCCCCAAAACAAGCGAGTAATAAGTGGATAATTACTGGGCAATATAATTGGGAGATAAAGTTGATCAACTAAAAATAATTTGGTATGTCACTCGTGGAGAAATTCTGATACCTTGCTTCTTTATGAAGTAAACCCCAATGTCATTCGTTTGTCAACCAAATAGAGAGAATGCCGCACAACAATCCCCGCTGTATCACTCTCCATGGTTGTGCAACATGGTTCATGAAAGTGCGAGAGGTGCGAAGACTGAATGTTTTTAATTATAGATGTTTTATGGAGCAACTGAGTGAGTAATAGTCACGTTAGATGCAGAGAAATAACTAAAGATAGCGAGTTAAGTAACGATGTTGAGAACCTTTATCAATCAAGATGGCTGGGACATGTATTGCGCATGTTCAAAAATCATACACAACGACGGGTGATATTCGCTGGTGTACAATCGGAGTGAAGGAAAGATAAGAGCAACCAAACGTGAGATTAGTCCATGAATTCATTGATTGTTGGCCTTAGCCAACAAATGATCTATTTAGAAAGCACATGCTCTTTATGGGATCCACACAATTTATGTAGAAGCTAGTTATAATATCTGGCTGGTGTGATCGGAGTAGGGAAGAGGTGTTCAAACATATGACCGAAGGCTAGAAATTTTTTGTTTAAACAACTTGATATTCTATAATGGCACATAAAAACAAGTGCCTTTTAAAAAGCCCTACATAACGTTCCATTGCAATTTAAAAGACTCACCCGTTTGGCCTGAAAATGGTACAACGTGTAGATGAAAATTACCGAACCCGTTCAGAGGTCTGTAAACGAATCATGAAAGAAAGGGAAAGATGTGAAAACAAGATAAAGTAAGTAGTAATTTAATGACCAATACAAGTAGGAGAACCTTTTGGTCAATCACATATAAACAACATAAAACTTGAAACAAATATGCAGAGACTTAAGTTGCTTCAGTATAGCCATAGAGCAAACCAATAAGATGCACAATAGAAAATATAAAATCATGGTAATATGAACCTAAATACAAACAACACGGTTCGGAGAGGAAGAATAAAACCGATAAACCCAAAGTATGAAGCATTTAAACACAAGATTCAGAAGATGACCAAGGAAGACATCTGTGCCAATAATCTAGAAAATTTTATCAAACTTCTTAGACCACTGGACACAATTGCAGAGACGACCCCAACTAGGAAGTCAACACCACATTATATAGTTTAAGTCAGTCAACCATTCAGAAGGATGATGTCACATCTTAGCTTGGTCGTTGTGAGGCTCTTTCTAACCTACTCCCACATTACTTAACATTCGATGTAGAGATAGGAGGTGGCTTGATATATGCACAAAGTCAAAGTGTGAAAAATAAATTTGTTTCGCATTTCCTTTAGAATATACAACACAATATTTCTTTATTATTTTATATTCCACATATATACCGTATATTTATCTCAAAAATTTCAATTATAGATAAAAGGGATTTTCAAGACTATTTCAATTTTGTAGGATATTCAACACGGATTGGTTGTAGTTGGAGATAATTAAAAACTAGGAATAACAACGTTGTTTTATCCTACTAAGGAAAAAAGAACCTCGCTATCCAGAATAAAAGATTTTAGATCACTAGTGACTTACTTAAAGACGAGCTGATGAAGTCATGACCAGTGGAGTTCATAAATCTTCAGAATAAAATATTTGTCACCAATGCTATCTGATTATTGTCGTGGTATATTACCCATTGGTTGAAGTTGTAAATGAGTGCCACCCGACCCCAACCAAGAGGAATTAATGAATAATCGTCTGCCGCGAGACCTAAAGGTAATTGTTTTGATCCCTGATGGACTAAAGGGTGTGAGATACTGAAGCTTTCTATTTTTACTAACGTTCTTGCAAAGTACACATTTTGTGTATTTTAACTCGTTCAAAATAAAAGGACTTTTGAAGACTATATTAACTTTTTAGGGTATTTTTTTTAATTATCCGTCTTCTTACAATTCATTCGGTATAATTAAGTAATCAATTACATATTTATGTACTCAGTTTAGAGTCATAATGTTTATATGGAAACCTGGGGTACTACCTGGTTATACAAAGGAAGATAGGCAGGTCAGTCAGTTAACAGTAAAGGAGGATTTGGAACAGGCCATAACGGTCTAAAGTCAATGACAAAACTGACAAGAGCAATACTGTCAACCGAGATGGGAGTAAGGAGTATAGTTCGAAAGAAAGTGAACGCAATTGCCATATGAAGGATGTAACAAGATAATGCCAAAAATCTACACAAAAATAACAGAAGAATGGACCTGAGATTCAGAGTAATGTTGTATGAGAACTATAGACACATAATAGAATGTCGCACGAACCGTAGCAAGACATGGTGAATTGCAATATTTAATGATTTCACTAATTATTGAGTTAGGCGGTTTGTGGAAGTCAGTTAACTGATGCCAGCTAGAGAACTATTATTGGAAACTAGCAAACAATGGACAATTGTTTTGTCTTAAACCTGAACCCCATATTAATGGTTATGTCCTCATTTGGGCGTTCTTTGGATCCAATAATTGGAAGTCTGACGCTTCAAACAATCGACTCAAACTACCTGCTGATATATTAAACTATTCCGACAAATTCAAACTTATTTCAATAATTTGTCAAGGAAGATGGGTACAAGTTCACTCTTTCTCTGATTTTGACGAAGTACATGCGTAAGGATGACTAATACCACAATTCAGTTTCATACTATAATTTAACATGTCTCACTATCGACTTTGGTGGTGCTTTTCAGCGAAGTGAGAATAAACCAATGCAAACTATGTTCAAAAACTTAGAAACAAAACAATGTTTCAAGACGATGAAACAAACGATATCATCTAAGTGAACCCAATGATATAACTTTGGCACAAGGAAAAAGGACAAACATGAGACAAAATTGGATTTCTGAATAAAGGTGATATAATTCATAACATAAGCTTTCAAACCCCTTAATATATAGAACAATTAGTAACGAGTCAAGTGGGAACCCATGGATTTCCCGGCCGAACAAATCACTATTGCTACATCTGAATTTTTGAATATGTTATACAAACAACTTAAGTGGGTTTTTAAAAAAATATTTACCTTGTGAATATTATAGAAATTGTGGCTCCGATAATCTAAGATATTTCTAAATAACTTATATGGTCGAATATTCTAGTGTACAATGGTTGAAATGTCAGTACATACGACGCAAATGAAAACGTTAGTGTCTTGAAATAGTAAAGGAATATTTACTTACTTCCCAAATAATATATGTATGTTTCCTCCAACCTTTTTAACGAACAAAGTACCAACGATTCGACAAGCATCAGAATTTCGGTCATCAGAACGCTTTTTATCAACCACAGGGACTTCAAAGTCTGTGAAAACACTTGTCTCAGAGGTATATTTCCACAACCAATGCTGTATAGTATGATGTTTTGCACGGAGGGCCCCAGCTATATATTGTCGATACTGTTGAAATATAAGAACAAACCATCACAGAATAACGACCAAACATTGGTGGCATCAAACATGTTCGGAAAGTCTACACGATTAAAAACTAGACCTTGTGAACGTTAGGAAACAATTAAATAAAGAACAATAGCATGATGAAAGAAGTTTAGTGTTGTCCTTGACTTTCAGCCCAAGTTCCTGACGAGATTTCTGTGGAGCAAAACTGTGAAGTTGGTTTGGCCGAAATTATATACGTGTTATTTAAAACCAAATATATAATAATTTTTCTAGGAATTAATTGTCTAGCAACGTTGACGATGAATATGAGAATTACCGAACACTACCGATAGGATAATAAAATTAGCTTGGTAAGGAACTTTGTGTATTATTCTCTTAAAATTGATTTAATTAAATAAACAAACAGTATGTCGAATTTTCCGACGCACGTACGAAGGTAATATAATGTTAATCATATCGATAGGTGAACTAGGAGTTCGTTTCTTTAGATATGAAACTGAGGAAAACCTTCTTATGCACCTTCCGATCTAGCAACAATAATACTAACAGTATTATGCAGGGAGAATTATGGAACTCGGAAAAAGAGAAAACCATGAGAATTACAGTTCAGTATACATACTTTGAACGCGGCTCGGGCTGATGGGCTAAGTTCGAAAGATGTTGGTAAGTACTGAATATTCTCTTCATCGGACAGAGAGGACCCAGAAGTATCCACCACATCCATTGAAACAGCTAAGATGTCATGTAGATGTGAGAAACTTACCATGACATGGTGAGGCAACAACAATGTCAACATTGACTTTTATTTTTCTAAAGCAAGATATAGAGAAGAAAACTCTTACCCAGAAGTAGATTTATCTAGTTCGTAAGAATAATTGACGGGGGGATCAAGATAACTTCGACATTCCATTATAAGCAACCAAGATATGCAACAAAATGTTAGAATAGTAACTGAAGACTTGAGATTCTTAACCGTATACAATTACCTAGACCACCACTCCATGTTGATTTTTTGCATTCTCGTGGAAGTTTTGGGAATACATCTAGCTCATTTACTATTTGTGAGACACTAGGTCTCGGACCATTGTTGGTGCTAAGCACATTTCTCCTTCTGACCTCCATAAATTCAAGATCTCTTATGTCTCGACCAAGGTGAGAGAATCCACAATAGGATAGTTAAACAAGATTAAGCTCTCAATTGGTTGGTAGTAGTTTCACAAAATTATCAATATCATAGCTGTATTTAGAAATGTTCTGAAGAAAATCACTTGTTGGGAATTCAACAGTGAGGATAGAAAATCACAGCGTCTACAATTATTGAGACAAATTACATTAGTGACGAGCAACAGCATTTTCTTCAGTTTTTCACGGAATAAATCTGCTAAATAATTGTATCGACTTATATTTAATTTTTAAGTGATTGCGCGCTTATAATGAATTACAAGTGTAATACATTCTGCCCAAATAGTTCCACCCAGTCTCCTGATTTTAAGGAAAATTTAATGTTTTGGGGAAATATTGGGGAAAAAGCGTAGCAACATTTCACGCAACGTAAAAGAGCCAAAACATTCTACGGACTTTGAAGCAAAATACCAAGTAAAATTGCGTAAAGCCAAAAAATTCTCAGAATTTCATGAAAATATGAAAATTCGGTTCCTCACTTGATGGCACTGTTTCGAGAATTCTTAGTTAGTAAATCCATTTAAACACGTCCATTTATCATACCAGCATCGCGATGGAGCCTGTAATTGGACAGCTAAATATTTAAGTTCTGAAGCTTCCTAGGATCATATGGAAATGTTTGAAATCTGGAATATGACGAGAAAAGGGGTTGAAAATGATAAAATTGTGGCTAATTTCTCATATCCATCTGAAACAATGCCTGCAGAATTCTGAACAATTTGACCTTTTTAGATAAGCCTATTTTACTTGCCTACGCAACTGTCAAACAACCACTACCAAATCATGTAAATCTCGAATGTCCTAATAGAGCGAAATTTCATAAAATGGTTCGTCAGAAGAACCAGAATGTTACAGAATTCATCTTCGGATTGCAGAAACAAGCCTTCAAGTGCGATCTTCATTACCAGCTGTGTAACTGATTGTTGTAGAAACTAACATACCACATCTTGAAGAGAGCTCATACAAATCACGAAGCGTTTCTTCTAAGCTGTTCGAAGTGCGTGTAATAATTGTGAAGTAGTGCAATGAATTGACTTCCAGGACGTCAAGAATTCCGCTACGCTACTTAGTTACCTCAAGCTTGTAGCGTGGTGTCGAGTTGAGCTTGACTATGAACACCGCTACAAGACTACTTGCCAATAGACCAATAAGATTCCGGTAGGCCAAAAATCAGAAGGCAGATGATAGTAGTAGTCGTAATATATTTGTTGGCAATCTCGTGGTATCGGAAGAATACCGAGATCGTGCCAAAGGAGTACAGGTGCGATCGGCAAGATAAGATATGTGCGTAGTCAAAAACTGCGTAAAAGCAACGGAATACAATGGAAGACTAAAATGGCTGTTATTAGCACAGTTAAACAAACGAGCACAGTAAAACAGTCACTGGTAAAATTGGTTATAATAATAATTGTTTTCATCGAACCAATCGCGTTCTTTTTTACAAAATTAGGTCACTACAGGAGCCCCCTGCTAGAAAGGGTTTACACTTTCGATAGTTAGCGGTTTGATACGTGGGACTGATCGGCAGAAGTGCGGTTGTAGGACGGAGGAAATTGGCGGAACAGGAAGTGATCGTTGATCCTCGAGTTGCCAACGAAAGTCTTTTGCGCAGAACGGTACCAGAAGTGTGCTGATTTTGTTGGTCGAATTAGCATACCACACCAGAGTGGTTTGTGTCCAGAATCTGATGATTGCGTTCGTAGGGATGTGAACCAGAAAACGCTGCAGACGTAGGACGAAACCACGTTGAGTCAAGAAACCGGACGCGACCATAACGACCAAGCGTATGCCAGGCGAATTCGAGACCAGATAATCGACTGAGTGCGTTGACTAGAGCATGGGTGGCCAAACCAGCTTTCGCCAAAGTTGACTGAAGTCGACGTTATCAAACGGGCGATGGTCGGAGGCGTGGGCTCAGGATACAAAAAAAATCAAAAAAAGAAAAGTGTAGCATGCGTGTAGTATAGGATTAATCCTACACCGTATCCGTTATTGACTGTGCGTTTAGTCGCGAAAGCGTACGGGTAATCGTACTCGGCGACCGGAACGTGAGACGGTGGTCTCGTTCGTACTTCGTGAGCCTGCGATCTCATCCGAGGTCAAGGGCGGCGTGGTCTGTCGATCTGGACGTGAGACGGAAGTCTCGTCCGTAGATGGTGCAGATGACGCGTGGTGTTGACCGGGACGTGAGAACGAGGTCTTTGATGTATCTAGCGTGGGATCCGAGGTAGACGTAGAGATCCCGCTAGAAGGTTTGATAGGTCTAGCATTGAGTCTCAAGTTATCGGGTAGGGCACTGTCATCGACGTGTGCTGGTTTGAGACGATCAATGCTGACGATCTCGACGCGGCCGTGTCGATCAACCTTGAAGGTCTTTTCGTGACGAGAGATCACGTGAAAAGGGCCTTCGTAAGGCTGTTGTAGAGGTTTGCGTACCGAATCTACTCGTATGAAAACATGTGAACAGGTAGATAACTCTCGAGGGAGAGCGACCTGTCGATGTTGTATTCGAGTTGACACCGGAGACAGCGTTCGCATAAATGCAGACAGTCGATGGACGTAGTCTGATTTACCGAAATCATTACTGCTCCGTGGTGTGAAGAATTCCCCAGGCAGACGCAATGTCGTGCCGTATACAAGTTCAGCGGCGGAACATCGGATATCTGCCTTCAAGCTCGTTCTAATACCTAAGAGGACGAGCGGTAAGGTTTCGTACCAATTGTCGTTTTCGTGTGCTCGGAGAGCACTTTTAAGTTGGCGATGAAACCGTTCAACTAAACCATTCGATGATGGATGGTAGGCGGTAGTGCGTATGCGTTCCGTACCAAGCAGCCGGGTCAGTGAGGAGAATAATGCGGACTCAAATTGTTGTCCTCGGTCAGTCGTGACAGTCGAGGGACAACCGTACAATGCTATCCATCGTTCTACGAAGCGGTGAGCAACGGTCTCCGCCGTGGTAGACGTGATGGGAATAGCTTCGGGCCATCTTGTAAAACGGTCAATGCACGTGAGTATGTGATCATACCCATGCGATGGTGGCAATGGTCCTACAATGTCTATATGAACGTGATCAAAGCGAGCATCAGGCGTAGCGAACGCGCCAATGGGGGCAGCTACGTGCCTGTGCACTTTTGATCGTTGACACTGTAAGCATTGCTTTACCCACATACGAACATCTTTATTCATGGACGGCCAGACGTATCGTGCAGCGATTAGACGTAATGTGGCTGCGATACCTGGATGAGACAATCCATGAAGGGCATCGAAGACAAGACGGCGATAGGTAGAGGGTACGATGGGTCGAGGAAGACCGGTAGAAATATCACATAGGATAGTACCTGAGATAGTAGCTAGGGGTATTTCCTGACACTGAAGGGACGAAGATTGTGGTGCTTCTGTACAGACAGGATCGTTTGCTTGCGCGGTGGCCATAGCAGGAAGATCGAGCACCGGTAAAGTAACTGCATTCGTCTGGATACGTGAAAGAGCATCGGCAACATAGTTCGACTCGCCTTTAATGTGACGAAGGTCTGTCGTGAACTGTGAGATATAGTCCAAATGTCTGCACTCTCGTGGTGAGTAGCGGTCAGACTTGGTATGCAGGGCATACGTTAAGGGCTTATGGTCGGTGAATAAAATGAATTGACGTCCTTCTACTGCGTGCCGGAAATGTTTGATGGCGCAGTAGGCTGCAAGCAGCTCGCGACCAAAAGCGCTATATCTCGTCTCCGTGGGAGTAAGGCGTTGTGAGAAAAATTCAAGGGGTTGCCAACTACCGGAGATATTCTGTTGCATAACGGCTCCTATAGCGAAATCTGATGCATCAACCGCTATACTAAGCGTGGCTGATGGGTCAGGATGAGCGAGGAGTGTAACTTCAGCGAGAGCCGTTTTGATCTCCGAGAATGCAGTACGTGCGGTATCGTTCAATTCTAATTTGCGTGGATTACCGCGAAGTAAATCGGTTAATGGTCGTAACCGTTCTGCCGCGTGAGGGATAAAACGTCGGTAGAAGTTAACCAAACCGAGAAAAGCCTTCAGTTTCTTGATTGAGGACGGCACGTTGTACTCCTTGATTGCTCGAACTTTGTCCTCGCAAGGCAGAATACCCTCTTGTCTGATGATGTGACCCAGAAATATTATTTATGATTCACCCAATTCACATTTCTCTGGGTTGACTACTAATCCATTATCCGAAAGACGTTGGAATAATAGCGTAAGGTGTTGATAATGTTCATCTACGTTTGATGATGCGATCAGCAGGTGATCAATATAGACGTGAACAAAATCCAAGTCTCGAACTATGCTATCGATAAAACTTTGGAAAGTTTGAGCAGCATTCCGTAATCCAAATGGCATTCGTAGGAACTCAAACAGACCGAAAGGAGTCGTGATAGCAGTTTTCTCGATGTCTTCAAGAGCGACTGGGATCTGGTGATATGCTCGTACCAGATCGATTTTAGAAAAGATAGTCGTGCCCTTGAGCGATGCTGTGATGTCGTGTATGTGGGGGATGGGGTAACTATCAAAGCGCGTAACTACGTTTATGCTCGGTAGTCGCCGCATGGTCTCCAACTAACCCCATCCTTTTTGCGCACCATGTGTAAAGGAGAGGCCCAAGGACTGTGAGAAGGACGAATAATACCAGTAGATAGTAAATTGTCAAACTCACGTTTAGCGAAAGCTAATTTGTCCGGTGCCAGTCGGCGTGGTCTTGCCGTGACTGGTGGTCCGCGGGTGACTATGTGGTGTACCACACGATTGGTCACCGATGAAATCTCCTGGAGTGGTTTAGTTATTCTGGGGAATTTCTCGAATAAGGCGTGGAATTTATCGTCACGCGAATAAAAAGTGCCGAGGATTCGGTACGCGTACATCGGAGTCTATTATATTAATACTATTCTTATCGTTATCCGTCATGTCAAATATATATATATTAA